AAGGAATAGAGGTAAAGTTAGAAGTAAGTCAAGGTCCAAATACTATAATGTTACATGCAACCACTGTGGCAAGAAAGGACACATCAAAAGGTTTTGCCGCAAGTTGAATCAAGACACTAGAGAAGGAAAGAAAGTTGAAAATAACGAGAAAAATGTTGCTGCTATTGTTCAAGATGACCTTCTTTTTGCTTATGATGAAAACGTCATCAATTTGGTATCCCATGAGACGAGCTGGATAGTAGATTCTGGAGCTACCTCACATGTCACACCAAGAAAAAAAAATTTCTCATCTTATACTCATGTTGATTCTGGAGTGTTAAAGATGGGCAATGCCAGTGAAGTTAAGGTGTTTGGTGTTGGCACAGTTTGTTTGAAAACTAATAATGGTTCAACGTTAGTTCTTCAAGATGTGAAGCATGCTCTAGACTTTCCTTTCAATTTGATCTCCGCAGGAAGATTAGACGATGAAGGTTACCATAATGCTCTCTTTAACGGCCAATGGAAGCTCACCAAGGGCTCGTTAGTAGTGGCTCGAGGAGTCAAGTCTGGTCAATTATATGTGACACAAGGCTCTATTCTTAATGACTCAATAAATCTGGTGGAAAGTGATAGTTTGTCAGAATTGTGGCACAGAAGATTGAGTCATATGACCGATATGGGGATTACGTGTTTGGCTAAAAAAGTTTGCTTTCTGGATTGAAACAAGCAAAGGTGAAAAGGTGCATCCATTGTTTAGCTGGCAAACAGAAAAGGAGGTTTCCTTTCATAGCCATCCTCCCTCAAGAAAGCCCGATTTATTAGAGCTAGTACACTCTGATTTGTGTGGTCCTTTTAAAGTAAAGTCAAAAGGTGGTGCACTTTACTTTGTGACCTTCATTGATGATCATTCTCGTAAGCTCTGGGTGTATCCTTTGAAATCTAAAGATCAAGCACTTGGCGTGTTTAAGGAATTTCAGGCCTTAGCTGAGAGACAGACGGGGAAGAAATTAAAATGTATTCGCACTGACAATGGTGGTGAATATTGTGGTCCCTTTGATAACTATTGCAAGGAACAAGGAATTCGTCATCAGAAAACTCCGCCCAAGACACCTCAATTGAATGGTTTGGCAGAGAGGATGAATAGAACTCTAGTTGAGAGAGTTAGATGCTTACTTTCAGAGGCTAAACTTCCAAATACATTTTGGGCGGAAGCACTTAACACTGTTGCCTATGTTATCAATTTGTCTCCTGCTGTTGCTTTGGATGGTGATGTCTCAAACAGAGTTTGGTTTGCCAAAGATGTTTCTTATGATCACCTGAGAGTTTTTGGGTGTAAAGCTTGTGTGCATATTCCTAAAGATGAGAGATCGAAACTGGATGTCAAAACTAAGCAGTGCATCTTTATCGGTTATGGTCAAGATGAGTTTGGGTATCGTTTTTATGATCCAATTGATAATAAACTTATTAGAAGTCGTGATGCAATATTCTTTGAAGACCAAACTATTGAAGATATTGACAAAGCTGAGAAGATAGATTCTCAGAGTAATGAGAGCTTAGCTGATATTGATCCAGTTTCAATTGCTAAGGCACCTATTGCACATGAAGGAACCCAAGACAATGATGGAGATAGTGATCAAGATCAAAATGATCATCATGGTGTACATGTTATGGATGCTCCAGTTGATGAAGTTGTGGTTGATCAGCAACCAATTCCTGCACAGGTAACTACTACGAATGCTCCTGAAACCTCTCTTAGAAGATCTACGAGGGAGAAGCAAAAATCCATGCGCTATCCTCCTGATGAGTATGTACTTTTGACTGACATGGGAGAACCTGAGAATTATGATGAAGACATGCAAGATAATCACAAAGATCATTGGATCGAAGCGATGGAAGATGAGATGAAGTCACTCCATGAGAATGGCACATATGAGTTAGTGAAATTGCCGAAAGGGGGAGCTGTTTCTTGGCAATCTAGACTACAGAAGTGCATAGCTCTATCCACCACAGAAGCCGAATATATTGCTGTCACAGAAGGTGCCAAAGAACTACTATGGATGAAGGAGTTTATTAATGATCTTGGCTTTGAGCAGCCACGGTACATCTTATTTTGTGATAATCAGAGTGCTATCTGTCTCACCAAGCACTCCACTTTTCATTCTAAGACCAAACATATAAATAGAAAGTATCATTGGATAAGAATGGCCGTGGAAGAGAAATTATTTGAGGTTGAGAAGATACACACTGATAAAAATCCTTCGGATATGCTGACAAAGGCGGTGGTTGCAGATAAACATGAATTTTGTAGAAAATTGGCAGGCATGAAGCCTGTCAATAGTTCCTCTACTTGAAGACACATTTGGCCCCTTGGCTGGAGGGGGAGTTTGTTGGGCACATGCCCATGTTGTCCAGCCAAAGGCCCAATGGCCTAATCCTATTCTCTTTTGGTTTCCAATCCTGTTTGGAATTGGATTCGGTTTATTCCTATTTTGAGTGGGTTTTTGCTTTAAGAGAAAGCACCACTCATGATCTATAAATAGGACAACCTTGGAGAATTATTCTATGCTCATTGATACAAGTCTTTGAAAGACTTAAGCACGTAAGAGTGATTTTTGAGAGAGCTTTCGTCAAGAGAGAAGAGAGAAGAAAAATATTTGTTTTGCTGCAGATTTTTATTCCGACCAGCCAACATTCAAATCACGTTTTCCGATTCGTTAACCGTTGGATCGGGCTGAAATTTTGACTGAATGTTCGTAACATCTTGGTCTTGGATTTGAACGGTGGAGATCGGATTTGGAGGCTCGTAACATCTGATTTCGAGCCTCGAACAGCAGCTTCGTTTTGTGGATTATACTCTTTCTTTAATTGATTAGTTGTTGCTCTTGTTGCTATTGTTGCTCCGTGTTTGGCCCTTGTTGTGTAGCCAATTTGGAGAACTTTTGTAACCCTCTTATTGTTATAGTGGAGTTTTTTGGATCTTTGTGATCCCGTGGTTTTTACCTTCGATTTGAAGGGTTTTCCACGTAAAAATTTGGTGTTCTTTATCTTCTTTATTTTCGGATTTGCCTCTTCCTCGACATAACGAGTCGCAAGGAAGATTTCACTAATAGAGAACTCATCAAACACTTTTATGATCAATAGCGATAACCCCTAATATTACAAACTGATAGAAAGAGAAATGGATTATAACCTAAATCATACGATGGGTTATTATATTTCACTGCTGGTACGGCAGATCTACAATCATGAGGTTTACCAACTATATTCAATTTTCAGTTTCTCAACACAGGTTTATGCCGATTTGAATGTTCTTTTGCAATGATTGTATTCTCATAAATTATAATTCCTCCACTTTTCCATCTACGGTGCATCATCATTCCCATGTTCCTTTAATATATTTGAAATTAACCTACATTTTTCCAATTTTTCCTTATTAGGCTCGGGAGAAAATAAGCTCCTTTGTTTTTTAAGTGCAGTATGAGCTGTCTAGTACTATATTTTCACCGACTGACCAAATCAATAATTTCCAAATAGATTGAACCTGTCTAACAAATAACAAACTCAACTTACTCCAGATTATTACTCATTAATGTATCGGTATAATTTATTTAAATTTTTTGGAAAGGTAGGTAAGTTAAATATTAAATAGAGGAATAGTTTAGCAGTAATGTATCAGTATCTTCTGAAAATCAACGTAGAGCAAAAAAGATCTGAGAAGAGAGCTATAAAATTTGATGAAAGGCCATATGTCCATGAGAGAGGGTGATTTTCTAAAGCTATTTTAGGTTACTGTATCTCAAATGTTCAAGGAAAGTTGATCAATGGAAAATATATGGGGTTCTCTTCCTTTGGACGGGAAAGGATGGAAATTTTTGGTGCTGATTTGTGCTTAGAAATTAAAAATCTTGTAACACGTAATCTCTAAATCCTATAATCTCACCCTACCCTCCTCACTCACCCCATTATATATCAGAACTACAAACCCAACTATGGAAACTCCTGAAAGACCAAAAAGAGATGTATGAACTATGTAATTCTAAAACAGATATAACAGATAATTTCCTTGCTCATACTTGAAATTTAACAGCTATAAGACAAAGAAACTACTGCTATTTATAGGATTGACTATGCATATTTACATCCTTTCAAATTTCAGATGTAAAAGCACCTGACCATCTTTCATTGTCGTCAAACAAAACAGCATTTCATTATGTTTTGTATATACACCCTCAAAAATATGAGTAACCAAGGACTTGTATGTTTGACATATTGAAATACTTGCACTATTTTTATTTTTTTTGGACTTTTCTACTATCTACATTTTCCTCCACCACGTCCCCATCAACAATGATAGTATAACACTCATAGTCACTTAACTTTCTCGCCACAACTTTAATTGTTGTGTACTCTTCACTCCAATAAGAACCTAATTTTAGCAGATAAAACATATGATCCAGCTAGAAAAGAAGTAGTATAGTTGTGAAAGAGTTAAAGGATGCTTCTAGAAGCATGAAAATTACCTTTCAAAAATGAACCATAACTCGACAAGGACTAAAGAGAACTTACCATATCTCCAGGACAAAATGTCATTGTTTAGATAAATAGAATAGAAGTTCAAATATTTAGGACGGGAAAGTACTATCTGTACCTCTGTCACTTTATCATAGTTAAGATACCAATGTCTAGTGATGGTAATCCTGTCCATTAAGAATGGTCCAAGCTCTGTCAAAATATTCAGACCAGTGTATCTATTAGACTTCTGGAAATTCATGCATGGTCATGATACGATAAACAATCAGATTTGACCAAAAAAAACGCCAAGACACTTCCCGCATAAGTGGATGAAAGGAACCTATAAAGAAGGGAAGGAAGGAATTATGTGGCTAGCCATTTTAACACTATGTCCGCCGTAGTTGTAGAATATATGCTTCAATCTTGTTAATAAAAACAACACAAGAAGAGAAACAAATAAATAAATAATAAAAAGATGAATATGGAAGAGGAACCATATTCATGTCTGTTACATCTCCTGAATGTCTGTTACAGAAGTTTGAGTTCAATTCTCATTATATAGTCTTTCACCTTTATATTTCTCTGATTGTATTATGAAATAAAAGAAAAAGGTTTTAAAAATATAAAAAAGGAATAGAAACTATCAAGATTTGCAGTCTAGTGATACCGATTGACAGTGTCTTACCAAATAAATGTAAATTCAATTCTCATAATTCTCTCCTCCGCCCTTCTATTTCCCTGATTTCACAATTTAAAAAAAGAAAGAAAAAGAATTAAATATAAAGATAGAAAAAGACCGAGGTGGGTGATGGGGATGTTATGGATTTCCATTCAACTGGCTGAAAGGCCAGTTTTTTAGGTAAACTGAAAAGTGAATAAAAGAATCTTATGCCCCTTTTAACTTGATTGATGCTAGGGTAGAAAACAAGATCATATGAGAAGAAGCTTAATGATAAGGAAGCTAGAACTAAACAACATATAATGAAGACATGGTATAAGAATTTTATATATACATAAATTGAAATAGTAAAAACTAATAGTAGAGGTTTACAGATTAATACTTAACACTTGATGTATCTGCTTTGTATTTACTTAAATGTTCTTGCTTTTATTCTTCTTTCTATTCTTATGTTTCTTCCATCGTACAACTACTTAATCTTTCCTATACTCTCACCCTCAACTTTAAAGACAGAAAAAATAAATACCTACAATCACTATAAGAACTGAAAGCTATTAATCAATGGCCTACCAATCTTGTATCAGTTCCTTCAGCTAATGAATCTGGTGCAAGAATGGAAGCCTTCTACTGGAAGAATCAACGTTGTTCGCTATGTGCATGACCTTCACTTCTAGCTTCAATCGACTATTAGTGTTCTGTAAAGCTTCTTCTGAAGCCATCAGCCAACGAAGTAGAAAGATAAGAACCATGAATTGTTATCTGTAACAAATAACAAATATACCAATGAATGAAACAACATAGAACAATCATATGTGACATCATATGCCAATAGTATGTGACATTCATATACGAAACTATACCATGTAATTGCACATGGAAAGTAAATATTCACGAAACACCATTGTCCCGCAAAACATCTAGAATAAGAAAAAGGCAAACAGAAAGATACCAAACAACGTTATAATCCAAGCACGTTTTGTAGATCATAGTATGTCGCTTTTCAAAACAAAAAATGAACTTCTTTAGCTTCGAAGCATCTAAGTTTCGAACTGGAACGAACATCAACTATATAACTGTAACGATTGAGATTTGAAACCTACAAAAGTACAACAATTAAACTCAATACATAACCTTTTGACAATACAGATGATAATAGAAACAAATGAAAAGCTTCATGGAGCCAAAGCACCTCAGTGGTAACCTAGTCAACTACAGTCGCAACTCGCCATATTCTTAAAACTTGATTATGTGGAAGAATTGAATGGTGAAGAAAGGCTAAGGGGCTAAAATAGATTAAAAAAAAAAAAAAAAAAGTCAACCTAAAAGAGAGAGCGACATCATGCTCACCTAGAAAGGTTCATGGCTGTCGAAACCACTGGAAATAAGAATAAAAATTATGACATGCATAAACAATTAGAGTCCCAAAAAAGTGCATCAAATAAAAGCATGCATTAAGCAAACATGCAAGGAAATTAGAATATGCATGAGAAAATAAAAGCTCAATAAAATAGGTAGAGAAACAATCGCCTGTGACAGCTTATTGACCATCTCGACTCTAGTACCATGACGAATTTACCTTGCCAATAATAATTCATCTAATTGGACTAAAAAGTAACATATAAAATTTAGCATTGCTTCATGTCATCAAGAAGTATTTTTATATTTGTACACAATTTATGAAAAATCTTCCACATTTCACTTAAATGTACAACTTTGCATCGTTGAAGGCGTTAAAAAAGAAACAAAAGGAATTCTTAGCAAATAGTTTACGTGTTTTATGCATATCACCGAACACCTTGGATTCATCAGTCTCCATAGTTAATAATTCATCATATTGAGTAAAGAATGAAAAATAACCAGAAGAATAAATGATTAAGATGGAAATGAGCACTAACTACAAAATATAACAGTTACAGATATACAATACCATGAAAATATGCTTATACATAATTTTTAAAGTAATTCTTTTTAGCAAAGATAATTTTTAAAGTAGCAAAGACCCATCTTCCATCAGGAAGCAGAATACTACAAATTTCTGCAAAGACAATTGGATTTGAAGTAATTAATTAGTGCCAAAAGTGGGAAAAGGCATCAGTCACCAGGATTATACAATTACATGCACCCGATATATATTTTCATACATGCATGTACAGATTATAGAATTACTAACATGTATGTAAAATTTCTAGCAAGAAATTGTGCGGAAGAGTAACAAACTAAAAATTGAAGCAAAACCGGACAAACTTTCACAAAAATCCGGAGGTGATGGGCAAAAATGAACGTAAGAAAGGAAAAGGCAGGGGAAATCTTACCAGAAGTAACGAAATAGAAGCTAGAAAATCAGAAATCACAAATGGATAATTTGTGAAATGATACCTAGAAGGGAAGGGAAAATACAGGAGGGAAGGAAACAAAATAGAGTGGGAGAAAGAAATCAATTTGGAACTGGCATGAACAAACATTTTACACGCTTCTTTACGGAATGAACAAAGAACGCATACCAATTTACTCATAAAGCAGATTATATTTACGGAATTGCCCTTCGTCGTACCAAGACTTTCATTTATTATATAGTTAAAAATATTTGCATTTCTGCAAATTCTTCGATTTCCTTCTACTCCATATCTTTACAAGTCAATGTACTTTTTCCAGATTCTTTACTTTTTTATTAGTGCATATACACACGTATATTCAAAAAAATTAATCTTGCCATTTTTTTCATACTTGTTGTTTATAGTATATATTCTTAAATGACATAAAGTCCTTAACTTCACATAGTAATATTATTATTTATATTAGAAAAGGGTAATTTAAATAAATGAGATGTTAGACATGTATTTGCAATATGGTACCTTTGATATTGTTGTAAAAAATATATTTACTAATATGAAGATTTAAGTAGTTTAATTTGAAGATATAAGTAGTTTAATTCAGAGTTTTAAAAATATTTTTACTGTTATAGAGTAGACGTCTTTCTTTCTTTTTTACCTTTTCTCTACTTTTTTATTTTTTCTAAAAAATATTCATATTGGCTAACTTGAAATAAAATTATAAAATTCATTATTAAAAATTTTGGGACCTAAATCAAGGTTTTACTCGTCTCCTACTAGAGCCACTTGCCCACCCATGGTATTCTCAATCAAATTTGTAGAGTCTCAATTAAGATAAGACAACAATGGCAATAACATTAAAGGTAGTGAGCATGTCACTCAGTTTACTAGTTTTTAGAGTACGCGCGTTGCGCGTGTGCCTCGTCTCAATAAATAAATTTTTTTAAAATTATATTGAAAAAGAATTTTAAGTTATAAAAAATATAAGTTCCTAAAATTAATGAATGTCTATCTTAGCTAACTCAATAAATAGAAGAAAATAGGTCTCATAGATATCCTCAATCATCATGCAATATATTCAATTTCACAAGCTATCACGTTTCTTCTTTAGTTTCAGCAAAAACAAATGGTTTGAAGATTTTAGAATTTCACTAAAAATATTTTCAAAAAACTATTCCCAAGTTCATTCGAGAAGACACATACGATGTTAACTATACTTTTATTATAGTTTTTTAAAAATTTGTCAAAAAACACAAACTGAAAATATCTTTTGATCTTTTAAAGATTTGGGAATGAAGAGGCTGACCCTATAACTCATGAAAAAATTAATAAATAACAATGTAAAGTGTAAAAATTAATTAATGGTGAGTTACTATTTCACAATAAAATAGATAAATAATGAAACTTATTTTAAATACATTTTATTTTCTACTATTTTATCTTTATTTCTTCAAGTTAGTACCTTTTCCAAATCTGAATCTTAATATTGTACTAAGAATTTTGTCAACTTGAAAAATAATTCTATGTATATGATAAATTTGGAAAATAATAGAATCCGATTCTTTTTCTATTATGGTATTTTAAAGATTTAATTATTTGTTCTTAATATTAAAGAAAATAGTTTATTTTTTCTGACTCAAATTTTTAAGATTAACTGTAATAATTATTTTATCAACTAAGAATTCTCTTTTGAAGGCTAAGAAAAAATGAAATAAATGGCCTTTAGGGTTCTTTGTGTTATAGGTAAGACAACAAACATGTAAAAGTTTGATGGCTATTTCATATTAGTTGTTTTCAAATATAGTTAAAACTGTATTGTTAATTTGATTCCTTTGATTATGTTCATTAATCAGCTATTATGACAAATGAAGTGGCGTCTTGATTTTAGGACTCTTATATTAACAATATATTTGTATAATAAGTTTTATATATGCTTCTTATTTAAAATCGTTATAAGATTACGTAATCATTTATGATTATGTACATTCCTCAATTGATTTATATATTTATGTAAGTTGTAGACGCTAGTGTTCTTTTTAGTGTGTTTAATCGAATAGAATGGTAAAATTTAAATCGATTAAGTTTTAAATATTATGACTTGTTACATAGTTCAACAAAAAAGTGTAATAATAGTTGATTGTCCTAAAATTAAAAAAATAATTAAATGACTATTCTGTCTAGTGTAAAATATATTATTTTTATAAGCGAAAAATATTTCACTAAGGTTATTTGTGCTTTTTTAATTTAGTATAAATATAGATATAGATTGATTCAAGTGTGCATTTTACCAACTTGACTTCTTGATAATATACTATAACTCAATGACGAATGTTGTTCTCATTTAGTTAGCTCAATAAAGAAAGAAATAATCTCTAAAGTCCTCAGACATCTTATTGTAATTTCTAAAACTTCTATAGGAATATCTTATAAACATTATTATAATTTAATGACCTAATACTAAAATAAGCAAACATCAAAATACTTTAATCAATAAAGGTTTCCCCGATAAAATAAATTAAAAATTGAATTTCTCCGTTCTTTTTGAGAAAGAAGAGGTTGACACTATAGCTAATTAAGAATTTACCGATAAATAACTTAATATATGAATACATAGCAGTTTGTTATTTATTGAAACAAATATATGATATTAAATGCTAACTCATTTACGATATTTTTGTCTTTTGCTATTTAATCTTTATTGTTTCAAATTTTGCATATTTATCAATTTGACCCTCAATACGATACTTTACTAATTTTGGTTCTATTTTTATTTCTTCAACGCTAATATGATCTCCCTAACGAAATAAATTTAATGTCCTACTTAAAAATAATTGTACTTATATGTCAAATTCAAAAAAATAATTATTAAATTCTTTTACTAATAGGTTAATTTAAATTACTTAATTATTTTTTTTCTTAACCTTGAAGGAAGATAGTTTAGTTTTTATTGATTCAAATTTTTCATATTAGCTCATCTGTAGTATCAATAATTTAATTTTTAATTATAATTTTATTCAATAAAAATTATATTTTTAAAGCGAAAGCAATAATTTGATATTTCATGTTTAAACTTTTGTGTTTGTAATATCATTAGTGTCATTGACTCCTGTCTACGACTTCTCTTCCTCTCCTCACTCTTTATCTCTTTAATATTGTATCTTAAATGTTTTTATATTTTGTTAGTAATTTAATACACTTTATTATCAGTGTACTTCTTAAAAAATTATATAACTTTCATTATTTCTATTTTATTACTATTAAAAGAAAAATTAGGAAGAAAGAATGAGAACGCATTTAAAATTTAACGTGGCAAGCTCAAGTTATTTTATTGTCTGCAAGTTCTTTCGTTCTTATGTGCCTTATCATATTCATAGTTGCTACCCCAAATTCCTAACTAATATAATTATCTAATATTATATAATAAATTTTATATTTTAAAGTATTGGTAAACTGTCCTATTCTTAACTTGGATGGTCTATTTAGGATCGGAAGTTTAGATATAAAATCCTTAGATGAGTTAAGTTCTTATTAGGAATTTCCATATAGTTAAAATAAGAAAAGCTTTAACAATTAAAGTTTTAGTTGATTTCAAAGTCTTAAATATTAGAAAAATAATTAACTTATAATTTTAGAAAATAATTAAATTACACTTTTATCCAATGTGAAACTTATTTTTGGCAAAAAAGACGAACAACATTTTGATAGGGCCTTCATGCTTTTAATATAGTACTAGTTCCTCGGCACATGCGTTGCACGTGTATATCGAGCCAAATAGTACATTATTTTGTAGATTAACATCAATATTACTAAAAAGCTTTGAGTAAATAATTATACACTAAGAACAAAGTGCAAGTTTTATGTGAATGATCAATGATTGCTCGACTCATCTAAATTAGTGAAAATATCCAATTGATGTGGAAGCAATACTTTTGTGACCGGATTAATTCTGTTGTATATTCTTCAGCTATAATACTATGTGTGCCCGTCTTTTCAGGTAATTACTTTTTTCTAAAAATATTTAAGTAATGTTTTTTCTTTTGATATACATATCAAGAATAATCTTGAGAATCATGTGATACCACAAGCATGTTAAATGTATTTATATTAGTAAGCAATTATTTCAAGTAAGAAAAATATTAATGGCTTAAACTACTTGTAGTATTTTTACCCTAATTCTCATTGTGAAAAAACCTCATTGGTGGAATTTAATGTTTGAGTTGCATGTTAGTAGTTTTCTTGATTTTTATTTTATATATATATATATATATATAAAATAAATTAAAGTAAAATAAATTAATGATATTAAGTATTAGATGGCGGTACGTACCTTGTGCCATTTGCCTTAGTTCGACCATATCCGTATGAACATGACATTGTTATAAATCAATAATTTTCAAGAATATCAAATATAAAATTTCTCAAATTTTTGTCTGATCATATTAAGTTGAAATTAAACAGAAGTAACTTCATGATTCTTTAATATCTTATATTAAAATTATTTGAAGACTTGGCTTTGTAAGAAACATTTCATTTTAGTTATCAAATAACCCATTTAAGTCATTATATCTTAACTTGAATAAGAAAGATAGAAGATAAAAAAAATGGATGAAAAAGTTTTAAAAGAAAATACAATGTGAAAATCTGGGGAATGTAAACTTGAGAGTTGAGATGTTATCGGCTTTTTTCATCTTCCTCCATCAGATCATTAACCCCTATTGAAGCTACCTATATAAATTATTAGTTCAATCCATCATAAAATGAGGTTAATTGGATTAGAAAATTTTAACATTATTCAACCATTTTCCTCGCCACTTTTAATCTCGAAATCCTAATTTAATTATTCTGATTCTTTATGTAAGATAACTACTTAAGAAAATTAACATATTATTAACTCGACATATCAGATACTTGCAAGTAGTTGTTGAAATTTAGAGTGGATTATGTTATAATCATACCACCAATTTAAGTCCAATTAGATTGAGATAAAAGCAACTTTTTATTCTTTTAACATTGTGTAAAAATATTTGATGGATTTGTGAAAAATATTCCACTTTAAATATAAAATATATAACTCATCTAAGTCAATAATATCTAAACT